TGGACTCACTGACAGCAATAGAAATGATAGGAGTCTCCTCCCAAAATAGAGGCTAGGCGTCAGCATTAATCATTAGAAACCCATTCCCATATGCCCAATAGGGTGGGCTCCCACTTACCAAACCTGATAAAGGTTTTTGCCAAATGTCAAGTGTCTAACCTGCTAGCAGCAAACTTGCTAGCAGCAAAAACAGAAGCCAAATCTCCAAGATGGCACCATACCTTGAAGAGACCAACTAGCCCCTTGGTGGCAAGTTGACTACACTGGATTCCTTCTACTCTAAAGGGTGAAGCAGTTTGTTTTGTCAGGAATAAATAACATATTTCAGGCATGGTTTTACCTTTCCTGAGTCAACCATCACCATCATCTAAGAGCTTACAGTGTTTGAACAACAAGCATGGAATCCCATCACATCAGACCAAGGACCCAGTCTTTGGCAAAGGAGGTATAAAGTGAGCCCAGGAGGGGTATAAAGCCCAAGGAGCCCAAAGGAGGTATAAAGTGATTAGGCAACCCACTGGTCACATTACATACCACACAACCCAGAAACTGCCAGCCTGATACAGTGATGGAATGGGCTGGTGAAGGCACAGCTAAAGCATAAACTTGAAAATGATACCTAGAGAAGACAGTGTGCTGTCTTCCAGCATGCAGTGTCCACTTTAAAATAGCAACCTTCATATTATGCAGTGTGCCCAACAGGTAGAACACATGAGTCCAAAAACAAGGGAGGAAGCAGGAATTGGCTTCTTACCATTACTCCTATGATCTGCCTGGAGAATTTGTGCTTCCTGTCCCTACAATGCTAGGCCCCACAGGTTCAGAGGTCCTGATTCCCAAAGGGAAAATGTGTCCAACAGGGGAGAGAGTATGGCTGCTGCCCAGCAACTTTTGGCTCCTTGTGTGAAGGGCAAGAAGAAGCATCACCATCTTGGCCACAGAGTAGATCCTGATTACAAGAATAGAGGAGGCAGGGCAGCTGCTACACAAAAGAGATGGAGGAGAAATAGTTTGGCATCAGCTTGTCCACTCGGGAGCCTCTTGACACTCTCCTCCTCTCTTTTGATGGTAAAATTAAAAAATGCAGAAGCAATGGCTTGAGGAGGGCATGGATACCAGATGCTCACACACCTCAGGAGTAAAAGTCTGGATCACACCATCAGGTAAAGCCACTGAAATCACCAGAGGTGCTAGCTAAGGAGGAAGGAAATCTAGAATGTGCGGTAGAAAAGAAAAATGATCCCTTGCTATCCTGATATCAGTTACAGTAACCATAATTCTTCCTACTAGCTTTCCTTTTCTAAGTTTCCACCATGAAGAGAGAGGCTCACCACAATGCTGGGGGAACTGCTCCCAGAACTTATATGAAGAAATGGATCCAAGTGGCACACGAGGTGGATGGACTGTGGTAGACACTGTCATTGCCACCTGGTCTCCCTCCAGGAACGAAGGACTTATTCTCCCATCTGTTAGGCCTGCTCTCAACAGAAAGCCCTCAGCTATCAGCACCCACAGGAACTTCCCCAAATGAAGCAAGCCCCCTCATGCCATTTCAGGACAACTTTGAAGGGTCATCCCAGCTTCAGAACTCCCACTGGGTCTGCTGAGGTCTCTACTGAGGTAGCATCAAAGCTCAACATGTCCCTCTGCCCAATCCCACTATTTCCCATCCTTCCACAGCTATAGATTCCAAAAGCACTTCTGAAAAAATCTTTTTTTTTAAACTTTGTTTAATGTTTATTTATTTTTGAGAGAGAAAAAGAGAGCAAGGAGAGCACATGCATATGCACACATGAGTTGAGGAGGGGCATAGAAAGAGGGAGACACAGAATCCAAAGCAGGCTCCAGGCTCTGAGCTGTCAGCACAGAGCCCAACGTGGGGCTCGAACTCACAATCCATGAGATCATGACCTGAGCCAAAATCAGACACTTAACTGACTGAGCCACCCAGGCATCCCTGAAGAAATCTCTTGCATGTTCATCTTTGTCTCAGAATCTAATTCAATTCCTGATGTCATCCATGTCAGGGGAAGAGGGGCTTTTGATCACCTACTCAGAAGGATAAGGGTGTGTGATATGCATCGATAATGGTTCCACCAAAACCAACTATATGAACTGTAAGAAAGAGAACACTGTAAGAAAGAGAATTGGGCAAATGAGCAAGAAGGGAGTGAGCAAGAAAGATACTGTTAAGGAAATAGGATGTGAGCAAAGGAAAGGACTTCATGGGATAAGATCTTGGAAAACAGGTAGAATTTGGGCTCTGAGGGTCATCAATGTCCTCTTACATAGCAAGGACAGAGACTGAGAGCAACAATAGTTAACAAATGGGACAAATGGGACAAATGGGGCTACTTGAAACCTTCTTCTTAATAACCATCTAGATATGTCCATCCTGCTGTCCTTCAAGATAAACTTTGACTCTCCCCTTTTTGTCTCCCCATTCTCTTGTTAATCTAATGTTTTTATTAACATCACGTAACACCCATGAAGGGAAGCTTAGACACCAAATTTGATAAGGCTTCTTGGACTGATTTTGCAGCAGGAAAGTTACTTGTGGGGGGGTGGGGGATGGGAGTGATTTTATCCAATCTAGCAGGCTGGTCATTTCCTCAGGAATAACCCTCTGTGTCTCTGTATGGCCATCTGCGATTTTTCCATAGTGAGCTATGGGTCCAGTAACAACCCAAACAGGCTCTTCCATGCTGAAGCATGTAAAAACAAAGATACTGCCCCTAAATTAGTCACACTCACAATCCATTTCAGTAAAGGTTCTTCAGGAAGTTGATGATACTAATCTACAAAATAAAACAACTCCCTCACATGATACCTCCTGGTTTCAGTAGTTTCTTGGTTTTGTCCTCTCCCTTGTGGCCCATCTTCTTATGACAGAGTTTTAGAGGTACTCTCAATAGTCCCGACATAAGCCAAAACCCAGACTAACCAAAATCTGAGCTTGGTCCAGCATCAAGGTCTCACCCAGCCCTCTACCTTTCTTTCATTTTAGCGATTACAGATAACAACAACCAAGAGATTATATAGTTTGGGGGCACCTGCGTGGCTCAGTCAGTTAAGCATCAAACTTCGGCTCAGGTCATGATCTCGCAGTTGGTGAGTTCAAGCCTTACATTGGGCCCTCTGCTGTCAGTGCCAAGCTCACTTTGGTTCCTCTGTTCCCCTCTCTCTCTGTCCCTACTCCACTTGTGAGTGCTCTCTCTCTCTCCCTCTCTCTCTCTCTCTCAAAAATAAATAAAGAGAGAAAGAGAGATTATATAGTTTGCTTTTTTATTAGTTTCCATTTCCTTAAGCATCCAGTGAATCAATTTCCCAGGAGTTAGATCCATCTCTAAACTCCATTGGTAAATTTTACCTTTAGTAATTGATTATAGCACAATTGCTGTTTGATACTATGGGTGACTATGTGAATATTGCCACCCAGGAATCAAAGGTTCCTCCTCTTCTCCTCCACCCTTTCATTCTCTCTTTTCCCAAAACACATGTTTTCATAAGCTAGGGCCAGGCCAGTAAATCCTACTTCTTTATTTATTTTATTTTATTTTATTTATTATTATTATTATTTTAGCAAATACTTTTTTAAGTGTTTATTTATGTATTTTTGAGAGAGGGAGAGAGAGAGAGAGCACAAGCAGGGAAGGGGCAAAGAGAGAAAGGGAGACACAGAATCTGAAGTAGCCTCCAGGCTTGGAGCTGTCAGCACAGGGCTCAAACCCATGAACCGTGAGATCATGACCTGAGCCAAAGTCTGATGCTTAACTGACTGAGCCATCGAGGCACCCCAGCATATCCTACTTCTGACACCACTTCTGGTGATACCTAACAACTCTCAAATTCTCCAAAACCAACTGGCTATACAGCAATTCAATTCAATTCTGACACTACCTAGAGGCAGCATCAGATCCCACAAATTAAAGAACTCAGTCCCACAGAATTGCCCAACTTCTGGGGTTCCAGGACACTCTCCTCAGGTTTGATATTTTGCTGGAACAGCTTACAGAACTCAGAAAACACCTTATTTACATTTACCAGTTTATTATAAAGGGTATAGTTGGAAATAGCCAAATGGAAGAAATCCACAGGATAAGGCAC